CTGGCAGTGTTGAAGGGCAGGTTGGATGGGGCTTGGAGCAACCTGGACTGGTGGGAGGTGTCCCTGCCCATGCAGGGGAGTTGGGACTGGATGATCTTTAAGGTTCCTTCTAACCCAAGACATCCTGTGATTCTGTGATGGGATGGAGATGGTGATGCTGGAGTTCACTGGCTGGGGCAGGCACCCAGCACAGGATCCAAGGTGCTGGCCCAGCCTCTCTCCCACTCATTAGCTCCCCTCTCTTCCCTGAAGGATCCTGATTTAGCTTCTCCCCATCCCACTCAGCAGCTCCTTGGAGGAAACTGATTAGGATTTTAGATCTCTGTAGTGGCCCCTCAGGATCCTCTTTTTCAGCCCTGGGGAGACAAGGGCCTAGCGTTGGTTCCTGGCTGCTCAGCCCCAGGTACTGTTCCTATTGCTGAACTTGCTTCAGGTCCACTGTCTGTCCATCTCTCCCCCCATCACTCTCTTGCTTTCAGAGGTTGTCTGGCTCTGGTGATAGAAGCACATCAAAGAGCAGGTGGGAGTGTTTGCCCCCGGGGGAGGGTCAGGATGGGTGAGGGATGCTTTCCCCACGGGGTCTGGATGTCAAAAAGATTAAGAAAGTGACAGCTTGGAAGGCAAGGAATGAGCTTTGTGATTTGTCATCCAGGAAAAAGCTCTTAAACCATTAAGATCTTGACAGGATTTTACAGAGAAACTGCAAGGACTTTCCCTCTGCTTGTGTGTCTTGAAACATCCTGTCCTTTCTCCAGGCTTGGTCTTGCAACTTGTTGGCTGAAGGAAACTCTTTACCAGCTGAAAGGGGCTTGTGCTTGGCTGATAGGGTTGTAGCCATGGGCAGGATGCTGTGGGGGAGAGTGAAGAGGAATCTCCCTCAGGAATGAAGATGATCTTTGAAACTCTGCAGCAAAATAACTATCAAAAGCTTAAAAAGGATTAGGGAGCTTCCTTCTGATTGGGACTCAATCCTATAGCAGACTTGGGTAGGGAATGTTTGAGAGGTGAACCAATCTAAAGGCAAAGGTTTGAGGGTTTGCTTCTGTAATGAAAAAGTTGCAAAGAGATGCTGCAACTGGGGAGGATTAGGAGTGTGGGACTAAAAGTAACCTCTTTGCTGCTAGGCTAGTGTTTTGCACTCATGGGTAACCCAGTGATTGAGTCTGATGGAGTCACAAGAACATTCCCACTGTGCCCCCATACCTGGCAATGAGCCCCCTCAGAAGCCATTACTCACCTTTAAATAGGTCTGAAAATATTCAAAATCTGAAAGGGATGAGGAGAAGGCAAAATAACATCTGAGCATCTTGCTGCTTTCTTTTCCCTGGTTTGTTCTCTTTCCAAAATAAATAGTTCTTGGTTGGCTGAGACCAAATAGTCACAGGAATTTTGTTTTCCCATCTGTGTAACAAGCCTCTGCAAATAGAAGTTTGTGCTTTCCTGATCTTCTCTATTTATCACTCCACTAATTATTCAAATTTCCAACTATGGGTGGTTTCCTACAAGTTTTCTGATGCCAGAGCAGAGTGTTTTAGGGCAGGTGGGGAGGGGAGACAGGCTGATGAAAATCTGTGCCTCATTGGTACTTTTGCTTGTTGAGGTTTTTCTCAGAGTAAGCTGTTCTTAACTTATTATTCTCAATTTCAGCACAGTCATCAGGAGTGTGGCCAGACTTGGAAAAGTACAGGATGCTTTTGCAAACTCCAGCTGGTGTGAAAAAGGGGTCTTTTTTACAGGGTTTGAATATTGCCTTGAAAGCAGTTCAAAACGGGAAGATGCCAGAGGAGATGGGTGGTGTTGATAGACTAATTGTTGCTCCTGGAGAAGAATTCAGAGTTGATTTACTGGTCTTCTGTATTCCAGGTCTTTCCAATGGTCCTGAAGTAATGGAAGTAGATGGTCTTCAGGAAGTGCCCCTCTGTAGCTGTCGAATGGAAACCCCCAAGAGCAGAGAGATCACCACACTAGCCAACAACCAGTGCATGGCCACGGAGAGTGTGGATAACGAGGTAGGAGCCTGTCCTTCAGCTTCTCACAGACTTTTTTTTACTGAGGACAAAGACATAAAGAATAAAAAGCTGTGCTGGGAACATGTGTCAGGTCACTCAGGGGCTCTGCAGCCTGGGAATCCTGTGGGAATGGCAGGACAAGCACCTGGTTCCCCAAGCCGGGAGCAGCCGCGCTCCGCACCTGCCGCGGGGTTGGAGGCACTGGGAAGGGAGCTGGTGTGGGCTGCTCCTCCAGAGCTGGTGTGGGCTGCTCCTCCAGAGCTGCTGGGTGGATCTCTCCTGCTTGTCCTGGCCTGTGTGGCTCCATCTGATGTAACAAACACACTTCAGGCCAAGTGGGCTAAAATACATCAGCATGCATCAAAGTGAGGAGATCCAATCAGAGGAAGCTTGGAGCTGGTTTCCCTTGACTACGAAGGAGCGGATGCAAACCTTTCCACAGCCAGCTCTTGGGTTCTGGGAACTTGGCTTGTCCTGCACCTGCTCAGCCTGCCCCAGCCTTCCTCTCTCCTCCTCCCCTCCCAAGAGGCTTCTGTTACAAAGCTTCCCATGTCCTGGCAGCCCTGCACAGCCTCCAAGTCTGGCTGAGGAAACATGAGAGGACCCAGTGCAGTTGATAACAGCTGGGCCAATGGGCTTGACTGGTTCCAGGAGTGTGGGACTAAGTGGCAGAAGTGACTCCCTCCCAGAGTCTGGAAGTGAGCCTGCAGGACAGGAACACACTCAGTAGATTCTTCTTTTACAGGGAGGCACTTGGGTTTCTTTTGAGCTTCAGCTGAGCCACAGGCACATTGTAGCGCTCTGACTCTTGCTGGTAGTAGGACAAGGAGTGAGAATATCCCTGGTTCTCCTGCAGGATCCCAGGAGAAGGGTGGATGGAGGGAGAAAAGAATGATCAGGTTTGCAGCTCAGCTTTACTTCTGTCAGTATGTGCTGGTACCTATAGAAAATATCTGAAACATGGCAAAAGTGATTTGTTGAAGAGAGAATGCCTTGGAGTTTGGCAGGAGAGAGGGAGACCCCAGGGTTCCTAAATGAACAAAAGGCTTATCAGAGATTCCTGCTTGTGTAGGTGTTGGTTTGACAGGTGTGTCCCTGGATAAATCAGAGAGAGGAGCAGCAAAAGCCTTGCTTTATGGGAGATTCTTTGTCATAATGGGATAAGTGACTCTCAGGTGTTGTAAGAATATTCTGCATGTGAATAGTGGGTTCTCCAGACTGTCATGTCCTTGGAGAACGATATAAAGAGTTATGAGCACCCTGCTGCACTCTCTAATGGTTGGAAAATAGCAATTAATCACTTTGTACTTTTTTTAGAGTTTCTAACAAATAATGTGACATCATAATGCAGGGGCTTCCTCACAGGGACAGCGCAGCTTTTCATGTGTTCATCAAATTTCCTCAGCTCAGAAGTAAAAATCACTGCAGTGGTCCTCTCCTACCCCCTCCTGCAGCTCCTGGGGTCTGTGTTAGTGGTGATCAGTTTAGCCAAGGTGCCACAGGTAGTGTTTGCAGCTGGAATTTGGGAAAGTTGGAGCAGAGATGCTAGGGACCAGTGCTGAGCCTAGGTTAAAATCCAGTCTCTTTTTCTGTAGGGTTGTTGATTCTGCACAAGACGTGGAGTTAAAAAAAATAATTAGAGAATGAGTCTAGTTTTATTGAGAAAAAGCAGCAAGTCAGACCTCAGCAGGTCAGAGGGACAGTGTTGGTGATGAGCAGGCAGCGTGTGCCTGGCTGACTCCTCAGGGTGATTTTGGTAGAGGGTTTTCCTTGGGGCAGCCTTTCGCATTTATGTTTCTAGTTTATGAAGTGTCCTTTGCCAAGCACCTGGGGAAGGCCAGAGGAACTTACAGAAGCCAAACAGGGACTTGTCGTGCTAGCAGGTGGCAACTGGGATGTGAACATGTGGTAGCTGTGTGAGGGGGCAGCCCAAGGAAGCTCTGGTCGTCCTGACACAGCAGAGTGAGTCACAAGCTTGGGAAGTGGAGCCCCACGTAGGGAGCCTGCTGGCATTGACAGGACAAGGACATGCACAAGGAGGCAGCTTTTTAAGCCTAGAGGTGAAATCCTTCAGAAAACATGCTCCAAATGTGACTTCAGTTGAGCTCTCGTGAAAGCCTGGCTGTTCATCCCTGTGGTCTGGGCAGGGGCCAGTGCTGGATCCAGTACAGACGATAACTTCTCTGGCAACAAGGAGCAATTATTTTTCCCTTTATCTTCCTGTGACTTACACTTTTGAACAGTAACAAGATTTCGTGTGTATGGTCTGGGGCTCTTGGTCACCGACACCCGCTCTGCCTGGCCAAAGGAGAGTGTGTGCTGTGTGAGTCAGGCCCCTGGGACTGCCCCTTCTGCTGCTGCTTGGCTGGTGCCTGTTTCCAGTGATGATTGTTGTTGTTGTTGTTTTTTTTCCTGCAAGAAACAAACAACTCAGGGTCCACATGCATGTTAGTTAGTAAATGATGCATTTCTTCCTCTGAGAGCAGCTTCCACAGCTTCCTGCTGCACTGCTAATGCTGTCTGGCACGCATCTGAATCACTGTGAAAAAGCCAGGGCTCATCAAGGCAGCATGCAAAACCCAAAACTCTTCCTCCACACGAGCACAGAGAGTGGTTTTTTTGGTCTCCAGTAATTTCATTTCCTTTAATTTCTCCTGTTCCAGCTGGGCCGATGCACAAACAATGTGGTTAAGTATGAACTGATGCGCCCGTCTAACAAAGTCCAGCTTTTGGTGCTGTGTGAGGACCATAGAGGGAGGATGGTGAAACACCAGTGTTGCCCTGGCTGTGGATACTTTTGCACTGCAGTAAGTCCGTGCTCTCAAATCTAGGGAAGGGGGTGCCTGTCGCAGTAGCTGGAAGAGCTGAAGGTAGAGGTGGTACCTAAAAGGGTTTATTGACTTCCTGGCATCAGCTCCACCTCGTTCCACAGCGTGTCAGGAGGTGTTTTCAACAGCAATGTGTGTGAGGGTAGCTGCAATCGTCACCTTTGTCTTCCTGGAGACCCCAAGGGGTGTCACTGAAGGGTTTTCAACTGGGATTTCACACGATGGAAGTCTTGCCTTAGGAATTTCTTTGGAACAAGAGTGTGTTGGGTTTTTTTAAATGATTTCTCTGTACAGTTCAATTGCATCAAAAATGGTGTGAGCTTGGCCTGTAAATGGATCTGTGTCCTCCTGCCTGCCCATGATGGTTTAGACAGGGAACCCGAGTGATGGCACTGGAGCAAGGCAGTGATTGAGATCTCCTGCTGCTTCTTCCACCTCTGTCACTTGAAGCTTGTGTTGGTTCAGTCCTTTAAGATGTCAGCCTCCCAGTTTGCCTGTTGGTAAAGCTGCAAAATATCAACTGAAGGTGGTGAGGAGGCTTAATTCTCTGGTGCTGGTGTTCTTCAGGATGACTCAATGGAAGATGCTACAGTAGTCTCAAGCGTTCTTGTAATAAATGGAGCCATCCTGGGTTCTCATGCTGAGTCAAAGATCATTTAAAGGATAAAAATCCTCAAAACCCTTCAAGACCTTTTGCAAAGCTGAAATTGGGTTAATTAGATTGCTTGGGAGGACCACGAATTCAGAAGTCTTCCCTTCCATGCACAGACATCTCTCAGTGACATGTTGTAGTTCACCCAGGTGAACCTGGGCACATTGGTCAGTGCTGTCCCTACCACAGAGCACAGCAGGGATTTGGGCAGCACTGACATCCCAGGACAGAGGGTTCAGGAGCACCTTCAGTTCAATTTGAAAGACTTGTCTGGAAAGGAAAAATAATTCTAAGCAAAGTTGCCCAAGGTGGTTGAGTGAGTGAGCAGACTCAGCCACGGTGTCGGGGTCAAGCAGCATGTGGGGCTGGGCTGGGCAGAGATGCTTTAGGTGACATTGGGGTTAGCAACTGATTTCATGGTATTCATGTAGGTCCTTGCATGGTTTGTGTGTGGCTTTGTCAGGTAGTTTTAATGTCTCCTTGGCACAGAGGTCTGAAGTTTTCTTTTCCAGTTTTGGGGGCATCCTTACAGTACACTGGCACTTCTAGAAACACGAGTGAGAACGTCAAGCATTAGAGGAAGGAGCTGGAAATGGGGACTTCTTGGTTCTGTGTCCCGAGCACAATTAAAAAAAACTTGCTTTGCAGTCCCTAACCATGGAGCTTTTCCCCGTTCCCTTGATTTTTGTTCTCTTCTCAAGAAGTGGCAGTGCTTGCTTTACTGTATTGGAAGCACCAGGGACAGGAGTGGTGATGAAGGAAGTGTTTGAGGTCCGTGGATGAAGCGCGTAGCAGGGCTGAGGCACCTGGTGACCACGGTGTGAATTCCCTCTCTGTGGTTTTTTTAGGGCACTTTCATGGAGTGTCAGCCTGAGAGCAGCATCTCCCACCGCTTCCACAAGAACTGTGCCTCCCAGGTCAACGACATGAGCTACTGCCCACACTGTGGGGAAGAGGCCTCCAAGGCCAAGGAGGTGACAATAGCAAAAGCTGACACAACCTCGACCGTGTCCCTGACCTACGAGCAGCAGAAACCAGCAGCTGTGGAGGGAAGGGCTGATACCACGACAGGGAGGTGAGCTTGGGAGCACGTGGGCATCTCAAACCTCAGGCCAGACCCTGCTTTCCATTGGAATGCTTGTGCTCCTCCTGATGGAGCAGAGTGCTCTCCAGTGCTGCTCTGACAAGCCAAACTCCACTTGCTGCAGGAGTGGTTTGTGTTGCTTGCTGTGTTGGGGAAGAGCAGAGCAGCCATGGGGTGAGCTGGGGGGATAGGAGGGGATCAGGACTTAAAACCATTCCTTTCTCTTATTGTTAGGAATGGAATAATATTGGGAGGAGTTGATGTTGCCAGGTGTGCTAAGTGACAAGGGAGTTCGTGCCATATCAGGCTGTAGCTCCTGACTTGCACCAGTGGGCACAAGCTTAAAGGAAGGATGAAAACTTAGGAGAACACACATTAAGCCAGCACTGCATCAAGCAGTGCTCTGACTTCCCATCCAATCTGATCTTGTTCTGGTGGCTTTTAGGACTTGCCCCATGTTCCTGGGTGTCCTGCAGGACAGAGTATAGAAAAATGTAATCATAGGGCTGTGCAGCTCCTTTTTGGGGCAAGTTCTTACTGAAAAGGCTGTAAAATATATTAGTTTATGTTTCAGTTTCACTTATGCTTTAAAATCCATTTATTTTTCTTCTTTGGCATAAGGTTACACACTGTTGTGTATATTTAATGGTTGTGCCTTGGCTGTCTCTTTTCAGTGGCACTGGGACACGGTTGTCAGAGGAAGACAAGCCAGAAAGTTCTGCTGCTGAGGGCTTTGACATGGCTGGGTCTTCAGTTTTTCCAAAGCCTACTACTAGCCTGTCCCAGGGGCCAGTTAAAGAAACTCTGGAAAGTGCCCTGATTGCCCTGGACTCTGAAAAGTAAGAAAACCTCTGGGTCTCTCCAGTTCCCAGCAAAGTTGCTTAACCTGGAGAAAACTGAGGTTTAGCTTCTCTGGGTTTTAGCCCCACTCAGACTGGTTTCTGTTCACTTCAGTCATTTGTCATCCCCAAGTGATGACTGATTCAGGAGAACAGTTGTGGCTCTAAATGTCATCCTGGTTTGTCTGGAGGATTTAGTGCTTCCCTGGCCCTTCAACTGCAGCTGGAACTCCTAGGAGTGCCCATGCATACCAGTAAGACACAGGATTTGTTGATCAGTGGTGCTGAGTAGGTGCAGCCCTCAGTAGAACAAGGCTGGCTGTGCTTGTAGCTGGAGGTTTTAAGACCTTTTTCTGGAGACTTGTTCCTGTGTTTTGCTGGCACTCTGGAGCTGCACCATGAGAACAGACTCTGTCACACACACAGGGGGCAGTGGGGTGGGGTGAGGTGCTGGCAGTGTTCTTCAGAGAGTATTAATTTTGCCTCTTTTCCCCACTTCTGCAGACCCAAGAAATTACGGTTCCACCCAAAGCAGTTGTACTTCTCTGCGAGGCAAGGAGAGCTGCAGAAAGTCCTGCTTATGTTGGGTAGGTGGCTCCTTCCCAGGACATTGTGTGTCTGGCATCTGTGTCACCTCCAGCTCCTGTCAGGCAGCTGCCAGAGTCCAGTTCCCAGCATGGCAGCACATCATATTCCCTACTGCCCCTTCTGAGGAGCTGGAGGAGAAAGACACTTCTGCAAGTGTTGTGTCACTGGGAGTGGCTTCATCTTGCTGTGGAATGTGGACCTGCTCCCAGCATGTTTCTGCACCTGGACATGGTTTTATCCAGAGAAGCTGTTCCTGTCCCAGGATGACCTACATGGGATTTTTCCAGTCCAACAGAACTTTTCATCCCTGTGCAATGGGATAGTTGAGTATTTGCATCCAGTAGAGAGGTAAAAAGATGGGAATCAGCTTCAGCTGAGACTCTTCTGCAAGACAGCAGAAGGCAAGAGCCCTTCAGTACACAGGGATGGTTTTGGGGATCCATAGTTGTCTGTCACCAGATGACTTTGAGCTGCTGACCTTGTTTTTACCCACAGATATTTCCAAGGAATCTCCCCCTTGGAAGGACACAATATGTCCTTGGGATCATTTCCTTTCCACTCCAGTACTTTGCAGTACATTTTTGGATGCTTTCTGTTCTTTTCATTTATCAGATTCTTCTTTTTTTTTCCTTCCAGCAAGTGTTAGCTTCATTGTTCCTGTCTTCAATAGTACAAAAGTGTTATTCATTGATATTTAACTATGGCCTCATCATATGCAACATGTTATCATGCCCAGACATCTTTGTCTGGCTCTCATCATCATCTGCCAGTCTTTGCACAGCTGTGAGAATCTCTGCCCAGATCCTGAGCTCGTGTCAGGAGAAGCTCCATCCACTTTGTAGGCCTGTGTTTGCAGGGATGCAGTGAGCACTGCAAATACTAATTGCAGTTAATAGTGGTGAGAAGAAAAGGCCAGGTAGTACTGACTGTTTCTTGTTTCCAGCTCCTGTGTTGCTTTAAGCAGCATTTTTTTTTTCCCACTTTTTATCCTTTTGGTGTTCATAGAATGGTTTGGGTTGGAAGGGACCCTTAAGGGTCATCTAAGCCAACCCCCCTGCAGTGAGCAAGGGCATCTTCAGCTAGATCAGGTTCCTTCATCCAACCTGCCCTGCAGTGTTTTCAGGAATGGGGCACCTCCAAACTCTGTGGGCAACTTGGGCCAGTGTTTGACCACCCTCATCATAAAAGAATTGTTCCTTATCTCTAGTCTCAATCTCCTCTCTTTTTGTTTAAAATCATCCCCCCTTCCCCTGTTGCTGCAAGTTCTGTCACCAGTGTTGTTTTTGTTGCATGGAGAGAAAAGTTATGAACCTGAGGGAGATGGCCTGAGTAGAAGCTGTAATGCCTTGAAGGTATTAAATGCCATGGTATATCTGAAGCCCTTGGCTTGTGGGCTCTTGCATATCATATGTCCATGGGACTCCTTGGGAGCTTCCTGGCTTCAGTGTGTAGTGAGTTGTGAGAAGGGCTGAGGATGGGCTGGGAACTCATCCTTTAAAAGCTTTTAGTTCAGACCTGGTTCTCCTGTTACACTTTCTTCTAATCTCTGACTCGTGGTTGAAAGCATCTCTGCTCTGTTTTGCAGTGGATGGAATTGACCCTAATTTTAAAATGGAGCATCAGAATAAGAGAACCCCTCTCCATGCTGCTGCTGAGTCTGGCCACGTGGACATCTGCCATATGCTGATTCAGGTCTGTCTCCACTTTATGTTCTTCTGTACAAGCAATTATCTGTGGTTTTTGGTTTCCTGCCCCACATGGCTAAAGCACACTTGGAAATCAGCACTGAAATGTCTCTCCTGTAAAAACCTTATTCTCAGGGTTTGCTGAGGGAGGAGTGTTGGGAAGTAGTGTGAGGTCTTAGAGGACGTCTGAAGATGTTTCTGTAGATTGTTCTCCAAGGAAGCTTCACTGTCCAGGCAAGGAGCATGTGAAGCTTTGATGCAGGGCACTGTGTGGGAGCCTCTGCCCCAGCAGAGGCAGCAGAGCAGGGCACTGCCAGGTGTGCCAGCTCAGGCTGGTCCATGGCAGGCTAAAGCTGCTGCCAGGTTGCTCTTTGTAATGAAGGCAGGTAGGATTTGGAGACTGGAAGTCAGCAGGCTCTGTCTTGCCTTCTGTCAAAGCCTGAGTAACTCCAGCAGGATTTTCCTCTCCAGTGTAAATGTCCTGCATATGAGAAGGAAAGGTGCAAGTTTGGCTTATTGGCTGAGATCTGTGTCCTAACTGAGGGAAGATGCTCACAGACACAGGGGTGCTCTCATTGAACCCACTCCAAAATGATGTAAAGAAAAGAGGCTTTAAGAAGTTAACATTTTTCCTTTTTTTGTACTGGCCTACATTGTCTGGAGTGGCTGGAAGGATGTTTTGTTTAACCTGTGTGGCTGGAGAACCTTAAAGGCCTTTCTCAAAAGCAGCAATGCCATGTGTTTGGAAACCAGCCTGCTGGGACCTTGTGTCAGAGCATCTGGAGTCAAGAGGCTTTCAAAGTGCTGTATGGAAATGCAGCTGTGGGCCTGCCCTGCTGCCCCCACTGCACGTGAAGGCAACAGAGTGACTTGTGAAAGGAGCAAAATGTGTGAGATGCCACAAACACTTTGAACTGAGTGTCAGCAGCCTTGGTTTGTTTCCAGAATCCTTCATGTTCTTGTCTCTTCCCTGGTGTCTGCCTATTGCAGCAGCACAGGATTTGGCTGGGAATGTCCACAGCTTGTTAAACTTGAAATGCCTCTTCTCTGCCTGGTTTAAATAGCTCTAGCTATTTAAAAGTCATCAGAACAAATGAATTCAGTGGGAGGCACCTGGAAGCAATGGGGCCAACTGCTTGTGCCAGGTGAGCCTGAGTCAGCTGTGCTGCAAACAGGCCTGTGCTTCCCAGGGGTGTGTGCCTGGGTGGCCTGCCAGGAATTGTGCTGTCTGTGAGATTTTCTTTTGCTTTTAAGTACTGAGTGGGTTACTGAGCTAAGCCAAAAAGTGAAAGCAGGCAAGACATGCCACAGCAGTGTTTTGGAAAAGAGCAAGGTGTTGGTCCTCTTCACTTCATGTTGAGCTGAACGTATTCTGAGACCTCTCTAGAAACATGACTGCTGACTTCCACAGGAGCCCATCTCCAGCATTTTTTTGCAGCTGCCACCTCTGTTGCAACCAGTTGTTCCTACTGCTGGTGACATTGGGAAGGGCTGGTTGTTTTGTTCATTGGGTCTGTAGAAATGATAGACCAGGGAAAACAGAGCTGCTGGGAAAAGGAAGAGGCTGATTTTTTCCAATTGGTACACAGACAACATCCAAAAAGTAGCAGTAGAAAATGTCTTAACAACAAGAGCTATTTGACACCAGCTCTTGGCTTCCTTGTGTCCTGGGTTCTGGCTGCAGAAGGCAGGAGAGAGGGCAGGCAGTGTGTGCTGCTTTCCAAATCAGGCCAAGTTGGACTGCCTTCATTCCTGCTTGTATTTCTTTCCTCCCTCTGCTTAATGTGGCTAAATTTCAGGAAAAAAACCTTACTACTAAATCTCTACTCCCACATCCTTTCTCTGCTAACCAGTAATGGTTGTAATTGTCCTTGTATTTGCCTTGGCCTCCTAACAGGCTGGTGCTAATATTGACACCTGCTCTGAAGACCAGAGGACCCCACTGATGGAAGCAGCAGAAAACAACCATCTGGAAACTGTGAAATACCTTATCAAGGCTGGAGCACTAGTAGATCCTAAGGTAGCAGTTTCTTTCTTATCTTTCTTCCCAAAGAAGCAGCTGCCCATCTTTTCTTTCTTGATAGGTTTGAAGTATTGGGTGGAAGCAGAAAGGCAGAGGGGAAGTGGACTTGGGTGTGAAGGCTTGGCAGGGCCATGCTTATCAGCAGTGTCATTTTAGTGTTGCAGTGTCCTGGCTGTGAGCACTCGGGGACAAGTGCTGCCACTTCCTACATCAGTTTGTGTCAACAAACCTTGGGGTTGTTTGGTTTCACATGAGGCCACTGAGCAGCAGTGCCACAATCCCACTGCAGTGAATTTAGAGTTGGATTCCAGAGTTTCCTTCTCCACAGACTCTAATAATGAGACTTTTGAGGTGACATTTTAAAATGGGCTTGTAATTAGGTGCTTGCCAAGCCAGCAAAAATGGCAGAGGAAGCTTTGCTTTCCAGAGGCCTCACGGGTGGTGTCTTGCAGTCATGCTGCAGTGGCAAAATTGGACCCCATCTTTAAACTCTACCCTTTAATTTAAACAAATACAATAAATGCAGCTGTCTGTTTGCCTTTAGCATGCTCTGCTTGCTTTGCAATCTTGGAAAATGTACAAATCGTTTATTAGTCTCATAAATCAGATGCTATTTGGAGCACAGGAGCCCTCCCCATGAGGATTTCTTCTTGGTACAACCTGGTGCTGTTGGCTGTGGCTGGGGAGCACGGCTGGCCTAGATGGTCTTTGTGCCAAGGAGCTGCCAGGGCCAGGAAGATTGCAGCAGGTACCAAGTGCTACCCACCCTGAGCCTTCAGTGGATCCATGGGAGCCTGGTTCTGAGCTGGGAAGGAGGGAAAGGACAGGACAGGTGTGTGTGGGTTCATACCGACCACTGTCTTGAGCATCTTGGAGCAATCCAGACATCTCCCACCTGATTCACTCGTGTAGG